AACTTTCTGAAAGACCTTCAGAAAGCCTTGAAAACTATTGAATGGGACTTTCACCTTCTGCTATTACATGATCTCAAAAAGCAAACAGAGAAACAACAACAACAAAACCCCTCCAGTCTTATGTAACCTAAGTTAGAAACAGGATTCCACACATATAGATGCTACATTTTTATGTGTGGAATCCTGTTTCTAACTGAGCAATTCAGCTAATATATTAGCTGAATTTCTCAGTTCTGATTGTGCCACAGATGTTCCACATAACCAGCTATTTATTTCAGGATCAGTCACATAGGCCATTCAAGCAGATGACAAAATGCGGATACAGTGGGGCAAAAAAGTATTTAGTCAGCCACCGATTGTGCAAGTTCCCCCACTTAAAATGATGACAGAGGTCAGTAATTTGCACCAGAGGTACACTTCAACTGTGAGAGACAGAATGTGAAAAAAAAAAAATCCATGAATCCACATGGTAGGATTTGTAAAGAATTTATTCGTAAATCAGGGTGGAAAATAAGTATTTGGTCAATAACAAAAATACAACTCAATACTTTGTAACATAACCTTTGTTGGCAATAACAGAGGTCAAACGTTTACTATAGGTCTTTACCAGGTTTGCACACACAGTAGCTGGTATTTTGGCCCATTCCTCCATGCAGATCTTCTCGAGAGCAGCGATGTTTTGGGGCTGTCGCCGAGCAACACGGACTTTCAACTCCCGCCACAGATTTTCTATGGGGTTGAGGTCTGGAGACTGGCTAGGCCACTCCAGGACTTTCAAATGCTTCTTACGGAGCCACTCCTTTGTTGCCCGGGCGGTGTGTTTTGGATCATTGTCATGTTGGAAGACCCAGCCTCGTTTCATCTTCAAAGTTCTCACTGATGGAAGGAGGTTTTGGCTCAAAATCTCACGATACATGGCCCCATTCATTCTGTCCTTAACACGGATCAGTCGTCCTGTCCCCTTGGCAGAAAAACAGCCCCATAGCATGATGTTTCCACCCCCATGCTTCACAGTAGGTATGGTGTTCTTGGGATGCAACTCAGTATTCTTCTTCCTCCAAACACGACGAGTTGAGTTTATACCAAAAAGTTCTACTTTGGTTTCATCTGACCACATGACATTCTCCCAATCCTCTGCTGTATCATCCATGTGCTCTCTGGCAAACTTCAGACGGGCCTGGACATGCACTGGCTTCAGCAGCGGAACACGTCTGGCACTGCGGGATTTGATTCCCTGCCGTTGTAGTGTGTTACTGATGGTGACCTTTGTTACTTTGGTCCCAGCTCTCTGCAGGTCATTCACCAGGTCCCCCCGTGTGGTTCTGGGATCTTTGCTCACCGTTCTCATGATCATTTTGACCCCACGGGATGAGATCTTGCGTGGAGCCCCAGATCGAGGGAGATTATCAGTGGTCTTGTATGTCTTCCATTTTCTGATGATTGCTCCCACAGTTGATTTTTTCACACCAAGCTGCTTGCCTATTGTAGATTCACTCTTCCCAGTCTGGTGCAGGTCTACAATACTTTTCCTGGTGTCCTTCGAAAGCTCTTTGGTCTTGGCCATGGCGGAGTTTGGAGTCTGACTGTTTGAGGCTGTGGACAGGTGTCTTTTATACAGATGATGAGTTCAAACAGGTGCCATTCATACAGGTAACGAGTGGGGGACAGAAAAGCTTCTTACAGAAGACGTTACAGGTCTGTGAGAGCCAGAGATTTTCCTTGTTTGAGGTGACCAAATACTTATTTTCCACCCTAATTTACGAATAAATTCTTTACAAATCCTACCATGTGGATTCATGGATTTTTTTTTTCACATTCTGTCTCTCACAGTTGAAGTGTACCTCTGGTGCAAATTACTGACTTCTGTCATCATTTTAAGTGGGGGAACTTGCACAATCGGTGGCTGACTAAATACTTTTTTGCCCCACTGTATATCTCATGCTTTAGATACAATGAAATAAAACACTGTTTACTTTTTTTTTTTTTTTTTTTTTTTAAACAAATCGGTTTTATCCAAACACATTATGTCTGGATGGATGGATGACAATGATAGTCCAAAAATGACTCATAAATGTTACAAACAATAACATATCACAAGAGTCTTTGGGGGAATAACAGTTGATGGATATTAAAAATGGGGATACATTATTTTGAGTTATGAAAAATAAAGATATCAGGCTGGCAATAGGTAGGATGATGGAACAGATTTTGAAACTGAGGAGAAGCTGCTCTCAAATTCAGCTGGATGACTCATACTGAGTCATACTATAAGGAGTATACAGTGTGACCTAACGTGGTTGTCATTCACTTAAAGCTGAAATGGCTTTTTTCATCTCTACAGCTCATTCCTCATACTATAAAACTGCAGAGGAAGAGTTTTAAAGAGTTCCGCTTATTCTGGTGATAACTTACAATTTAAAGTGTAACAGTGCAACAGTGTTCCCACTGTTGAACGGTGGATCTCTCCACCCCGTTTAAAGAATAAAAAAAATAAAATGTAATAAACACTTTCTTCCACTTGGCGGCAGCATATACTGCTGTACTGTAAAATCTGAGCCTGATGTGTTTGTGAGCTTTATTTAGTTTCGCTCAGCTCATATAAAGTCGTCTGACAGAGGCGATGAGGGGAAGCCCTTGATCTTAAATACAAGTACTGATTTAAAAATAACATAACTCAGAGAGCCAAGTATGAGGCCCACTGGAAAAGTAGGACAGCGGACGTCTTTAGTTAAATCATAAAAGAGATCAAACCGAGAAAAAAGATGAGTAAATCTGACTAACAAGCCATAAAACATTCGCCAGACATTGCATTTTAGGTCATGTAGGAAAAACAAACCCAAAAAACAAATAGAAAACTGCCTGTGTTTTTGGATAAACTTCCAGACTGGATAACGAGGTTTATAAGTTACAAAAGTTTCTCTCCAATGATTTTATGACTTGTTGGCATGAAAACATACATATAAATATGTGTTTGTTTGTTTGTTTGGTTTTTTTTAAAGCTCAAATAATTGTGATTAATCACTTAAGAAAATGACATAACGACTCCCAAATGGTGTTATTTTAAACATTCGTGTTTTAGATCGTGACATGAACATATTTGATGTGTTTGGCATTGTTCCCACTGCACTTGCTGCTGGGAAAATAATATAGAGATCCAATTTGCTGTAACTTCTACATGAGATGCATTTCTTTCACGGCTCCTCGGTGAGTTACATGCATTTTTTTTTTGTTTTTTTACATACCAGTACAGTCATAGGGAAAGAGTTTTCCACAGGACTGCAGAGATTCCTGTGGAAAACTAAGTTCATCCCATGATTCAGTAGCTTGTAGCTTGTAGAAACACATTTAGCAACAATAACTTGAAGTATTTAATTTCATTTTAGTAATTATTTAATGACTTCTATCTATCACATTATTGTGCAGGAATTTAGTTGGCTTCACATTTGACTGCAGAACACTTTGGCATACAGAGGAATTCATTGTCGACTCAACGCCTGCAAGGTGGCCCAGGTCTTGTGGCTGCAAAACAAGCCCAAATCATCACCCCTCCACCACTGTTCTTGACAGCTGGTATGAGGTGTTTGTGCTGATAGTTTGTGCTGTGTTTGGCTTTCTCCAAACTTGTCGCTGGGCAATGCCATGCTGTTTTTTTTTAAATAGTAGAGGCTTTCTCCTTGGAACCCTTCCAAACAAGCTGTACTTATTTAGTCTTTTTCTAATTGTACTGTCATGAACTTTAACATTTAACATGCACACTGATGCCTGTAGACCCTTAGATGTAGTTCTCTGGTTTTTTTGCAGTTTCTCTGAGCATTACACAGACTGACCTTTGGGTGAATTTGCTGACGTCCACTCCTGGGAAGACTGGCAACTGTCTTGAATGTTTTCCCCTTGTAAACAATCGTTCCCACTGTTGAATGATGGATTTTAAATTGTTTGGAAATGACCTTATAAGCCTTCCCAGATCGATGGGCAGCAACAATTACTTCTTTCCTGCTTGAAAGAAGACTTCAGCTTTTATAGAGGTGCTCACACTCGCCGATGATCAATAAAACAAGAGCATTTGTTTAGCAGCATCTGGCTGATACTTATTCTGTTAGTGCACTTAGCAGTTAGGGTGTACTTGGTTTTTGAGGACAATATAAACACTTGAGCTTTTCTCACACGAGCCCATACATCTGTGGCTTCATGAAGGCAAAGGTACGTGTATTGAGTTGAGTAGACTTGTCCCATTAAGCTGATATTTAACAATCATAAAAGTACAGGGAAGGGCAAACGGAAAGCCAGAAGAGTGAGAACAGTGCAAGTATAGTTGGGCATTTTTGTGCGCTGTAAGTAGAGTGAATGATTGACAGATACTGATTGTGTTTGAATCACAATATAAATGTTTCTGTCTACTGAAAAGAAACTGCAAAGGGTACTAATAATTTTGTGAAATGATTCCCAACATACTTGGGAGTGTACACTGGATAGCGCTTTAGAAATACTTAAATATTGCAGCTCCTACCCGATGGCAAGTTCTTCTGTTTCTCCAGTTTCACACATATATAATTTGTAACTTAATGAGCTTAAGACATGGAGACACCGCACAACTGCACTAAGCTGTTACCTTCTGTACGTATATTATTATAAGCACTTTGGTGTATGTAAAAAGGGTAGCTTTACAGACTCTCATAGGATAACCCTCAAGTATGTGTTAAAATCATCCTGAGGGAGCTGGTTGTTTATCGTCTACACACAGAAACAGGACAAAGCACTCAGTGTGCTCTGAACAGTTCTTCCTGTGTGGCAACACTAGACAGCAGCTGTCACCTCTGACATCATCACCAGAGCCCATTGGCTCTTTTCAGGTGTCAGCGTGCCCCGCTGCACTCTGACAAGACAACTTAGGTAGATGGTTCGATCAACTGGGAGACCCAGCACTTTTTTTCCTAGCTCAAGCTGAGCGATGACTGTGATGGAACACACCAACCATTAAAGAAAAACAGGACACAAGACTGTTGAAAATCTTACAATGTATATAATTGACACAAGATTTCAGGTACAACAGCAAATGAGACATTTTAGATATTTTTCAACCTCTTTCTGGCTTCCGTGTTCACCACAAGAACAAACTCTCTGTCGATAACAATGAAACGAAAGTAAAACAGGAAAAATAAAAGTATTTTTGTCCTCATAAACTGGCACCCTTCAGATGTGCCTCCAAGTCTCAGCTCAGTGTGGAGTAAATCTGTTTCGTTTTTCTTCTCTTTTTTTTTTTAACGGCTGGATAATCAGCTTTGCATTATTGCCACCTACAGTGATGAACGAAGGCAGGATTGAGGCATACACACTGATTTGAGATCAGTGCCCTTGACAATCTGTTCTCCTTCCTCTCACACTCGGGGGCTTAATGTTTACACTGTTTCACCATACTCAGACAGGAGACATCTTGCCGGGCCATATCTACGTACACACAACCCCCCAATCGATAGTTGTTTCTGGAAGGTGTCGACTCACATATTGATCAACCATCTTGTGATGTCTTTGTGCAGACAATGCCATTTATTGGCCTCATAAAAGTGCAGGTTTTTATAAAAGGGGAGGGGAGCGTGGGGCTTTGAACAACAAATTAATGAGATCAAAAGGTCAAGAAGGAGTGGGCATGGGGAGGGGTTGTGCAAATTTCAGCTAATGACATTGTGAGGCTGTCATTGAAACTGGAGATGTGAGCCTAAAGTTGTAAATCATCTTTGAACTGGAATGTCACCATCACAGTTGAAGTACTTCCTTTTATTATTACAGGGCTGCATGCGCACCTTCACATTCATATTCAGATCTTTTCTAGAGAGTCTTAAAAAGAGGACCTATGTGGCGTGCTTGCTAAACGGTACTTTTGAAGTTGTTGTTTTTCTCCTCACCACCAACATCTTGCATCATAGCATCTCTCTGTTTAAATCTTAAAACTGATCTCAAAGTATCAAAGGCAGTCACAGGCAGATTTCTTAACCAGGGACTAACAGAAAGACAGACAGACACACACGCACACACATATTCACACAGCAACAAATCGTTCATTAATAGAGCATATCAAAAAAGAAGTTACCATTAAAATAACCTGTCATGTCACACATAGGGCAACAACAACAACAACCCCTTTTCAGAGCAGAAACTAACCAAGTATATATCAGATGTACTTCTAAAACTCTGACAGCACCCCACGCTATCCTAAAGCATTCGGAGTATTATCAGCAGGGAGTGCATGTACTGTAAATGATTTTTCACAACATGAATTATATAGAGGATTGTCCCAATGCACAGGTGAAGTAATGACGTACTTTAAAAATCATGTCCACTTGACTCCTCTGCATCCTGTCTCGCTGTTCCATGAAATAAGATTCCATCAATACATATGATCATTTATTACAGTGAAAGTTTTGAAAATGCAATTTCTGAAAAACGAGTTGTATTAAGCTCCTGTTACTGTCAGTTTAATAGCACTCTGTCACACCGTGTTAGTGCAGTACATTTTAGTTCATCTCATTTCTGTGTCATCCGAACTACTGTCGATTCAAAGAGGCGCTATCGTCAATCCCTCTTCTGCGCTTTCAATCAAAGACAAGTACACGCATTCACACGCAAACGAAACACATACGCGGGCATCGTCCCATCATCCTGCACGCAGCACTCCTGAATGAGAACGCTGGCATTGCTTTGAACTAAATTGTGGTACATGTTTTCTCCCTAGCAAGCATCAAATCGGGCGGGGGGAGAAAGCCTTAAAATGTGTTCCCATAACATTCCCAGTAAGGTTGACACATAATGAAGCACTGTGTCATTGTCATATTGCCTTGCTACAACGCAGAAGCACGAGGAACGCTTTAAAGGTCATTATAACTGATGAGTGGGGAAAAGGGCAGAGGAGGTTGGCAAAAAATAGGCACCGATATAGAAATGTTTCAGATAATGAAAGGCGGACATGGATACTGACAGATGATGAAAAAATAAGCAGTAAGAGCACACAACGATCTTGCTTTTGTCAAATTTTGGGAACTAAAAGCATGTTTTTTTAATTTTTTATTTCCCCCTTCTACAAAATGGCAAAGAAGCAATCAAAAATATAGACGTGCACGGTGTGGCTTTTACTGTTATATGGATCACTGCGGCAATCAGTCATGAAAAAAAAAAATCGATGATACTGAAATTATGATGCTAATCACAGGAACACTGGGCCATTGCGGGGAACCCACAAAATTTTATGCATATTATATTTTTGCTCTCCTGTGAATGTAAAAGGAATACTAAAAGAAGTGCAGCAGGACAGCGGAGCCTCTGCTTTTGTGTGCATTTCTGCTGTGCTACAAGACTCCAAGATCATTTCATTCAATCCTTTGTCACAGGGGTCATCTTAACGCGACACCTCCTTTCCACGTAGCACACTCTATAGCGAAAAGCTGCTTCCATCTGAGACCTGTCCCAGCCGAGCACGTGCTTTGCTTAAACCAGAATGTTGAGTTGATGCTACACTGCCAGCAGGTTCTGGAGAGAGGGAGGGAGGGAGACAATCTCGGTGGGGCCGGGGAGGAGGGTGGGATGGGGAGTGTAGGAATAAGTGGATGGATGGAGTAGAGGACAGACCGTGTTACTCCTACACCGGGCGATCGTGCCAGTGTGACTGTGATCACGGCTATTATTACAGATTACATGATGAAATGGCAAAAGTGCTGACGCTAAGTGCTCTCAACCTCACTGTGTGAGCGAGTGCATACAAGTAATGATACTGTGAGGCTTAATGCATTAAGAGGTTTGATGGGTCATGCTGTCCAGATAATTCTCCTTTTAAAGTCAGCAGATATTTTTTTCTTTTTCCTATAAATATCTAAATGTGATTAAATCATTTTGGGACAAATATAATCATAAATAAACAATTCCCACGGTCACAAGTGGAATACCGACACGTAGTATCTGGGTGCCACTGCAAAAAGCTCGACTCTCCCTCTCCCTATGGTGTCAACACCAACATACTGTTAGCAATACAGTCTCGCACACGCTTTAGGAGCAGATATAACCTCAGAGAAAACCAAACACCAAAAACAAAACATTAGAAGATGCAAAAAAAAAAGAAAAAAAAAAGACCAGCTCTAAAGGTGTCATAGTATAGGAAGAATAAAAGATGAGAGCAGAACAAAAAAAACAAAAACGTTTATGAGTACTCATATTTCCATTTTGCTCCAATCCAACACCAAAAGGAAGTCCATCCATGTGATTTATTGTTGTTGTTTCTTTAGATTTCTTTAGTTTTGGCAAGCTAACTAACCCCCAACTTCTCCTCCCTCCCCTTTTCAACTCTCCCCAACCCCCGGTGCCCCAGTCTCAGTCCCAGTTGGCAGATTCCACCTCGTCAATTATCGCCGGAGCAGCAAAATGAGCAGTGTAAGCAGGTAAATGCTGATGGAGGGAAGGTTCTGCATGGCTGAGCCTTTCACCCTCTCGTTTTCTGGAGGGTAGGGAATGGCCACAGGTCGGTCAGTGATGGGGAGAACAAGGTGTGTATCCCGGGAACACATGTCATCCGCGCACCCGCTTCCTGAGCCGCTGGCGTCATCACCTATAGACACAGGGTATGGACATGAGCTCACTCTTCCAACAGGAATAAAGCTGTCACTAACCCTATTAACCATACAGTGCACATAAAGTGTTTGTTTAACTGCCAGTAAAAATTTGGCATTGACTGTTCAGGGGCAAAGAGAATACGGCTATGAGTCAACATTGTCATGAGTTACTTAAATTACGTGGTATGAAAAATGAAATCAGATAATCAAAAAAGGCATTCCTGATTTTCACAGGTTTAGTTGGAAAACATGTTTTTGATTAATCGTCAATGGACAAAGATGCCCTAAAAAAGCTTTCAGCATAGTGTAGTTGTTGTAGGGAAAACAAGACACAAGACACCTGCAGCTCATGTACAGGAAATGTAAGTTGTAACAGGATATTTTATGCAATCATGGGTATTTTCAGTCTAAACCAAGTGAGTAGCATAAAAGAGTTAAAAAATCTACACAGGAAGCATAGTAGGAGTAGAAGGCAGAACAGACAGGGTGAGTTGCAGGTGAGGTGTGTCTGTTTCTTTATTTTTTATTCTTTAATTTGAGAGAAGTTACAATAATGTAATCATGAGTAGGTCATCTGATTTGAGGTTTCTTGTGGGCTGAGATGATAAAGATTACTCACTGGTGTCCTGAAATTCCACATCCTGGCCATTTAGAGCATTCTTCAGGCGGTGAGTCATAATCTTCAGCTGCATTATTTGTTGGCGTATTGTCATGTCTGGTTTGGTGATGTCAATTTCCACTTCAGGGTTGTTGATCTGACTGGCTAAGCCGTCATTCATTAACTCAGGAAGGTACCTGTGAACAGTTAACAGCCAGCGTGCTCAGCACCAGGTGGAAGTGTGCACAATCAAGCAATTCGTTTTCTGGATTTTCCAGGATTCTGGAGAGTCGCTTTCCTTAAAGATGTCGTCATTAGCTTAGCAGACTCAAGATGAGTGTAACGCAATTAGCTCTTGTGACAAAATGTTTCAAAACAAGAAGAAAGCCATACTTTAAGCTAATGCAACAGGACCACAGAGCGACTGGCATACAACAACACTGTGCATATAGCACCATGGAAAGTATTCACCCCCCTCCCTGATTTCTTAGTGTTTTTGGATCTTTGTCACACTTACATGTTTCAGATTATCAAAGAATTTTCAATATTAGACAGAGATAACCCAAGAAAATAAAAATGCAGTTTTTAACTGATGATTTTGTTCAAAAAAGGGAAAGAAGCTTTGGGGAAATTTTGGCCCCCTCTCCTTTGCAAAATGATCTCAATTGAGCCACATTGGAGGGTTTTTGAGAATGAATGGCCTATTTAAGGTCACGCCAAAGCATCATAATCAGATTCTCTTTGAGCTTCAGGGTATGAACTGATGGCCAAACATTCTCCATCAGGACTTTCTGGTAGAGAGCAGAATTCATGGTTCCATCAGTTATGGCATGTCATCCAGGTCCTGAAGCAGCAAATCAAGATCTTTTTTTTGGTAAATGTGAGACAAGAATTTCTGTTCTTTTTGGTAAACAGTGGTTTTCTCCTTAGGAATCTCCCATGGCTGCCATTTCCGCCCAGGCTCTTTTTTTATTGCTGAATCATGAACTCTGACCTTAACTGAGGCAAGTGAGGTCTGCAGGTCTTTAGATGCTGTTCTCCTGTGACCTCCTGGATGAATCATTGTTTAGACCTTTAAGCCTGCTTCACTTTGTCAGACAGATTCTGTATAAGTAATTTCTTGATTCAGCAGGTCTGACAGTGGTTAGTGAAATTGAACTCAGTTTTCCAGGGAATGTGGTAATGGTAGTTTTGGATAGCATTTTTAATTTTATTCAGTATTAAAATTTGTTTGATCATCTGAAACATGTAAGTGTAAAAATATGCAAAAGAAAACAAGAACAAGAAATCAGGAAAGAATAAGGAAAACTTTTTCACAACATTGGAATTCTGTGTTGAAGTAATAATTTCTTCATGGGTTCATATTCCCTACCTGGCACGGTTGTTGCCATTCCAACACTTGTCTTCGGACCCTAATCCAGTGGCCACTCTGTCACTGCAGATGAGATTTGGGAGAGAAGTCCAGTATGGCCTATTGTCCCCCAGTATTATTCTTACATCAGACACCTGAGGCAAAGTTGTTGAGAGCACATTCATGAGCATTTATACTTCCCCCCCCCCAAAGTCACAGTATGCTGTCACACACCAACAATAAGAAACACTCTGGGTCCCTCAATAACCAACTGCAGTGTTCAGTCATCTGACACATTTATCCTTCCAAGCATTCATTCCCGTCTAATCACTTCATAGTTATCTGTGCGTAGGTGAAATTGAACAGCAAAAGTGGTTCAATTGGCCTTGATGACCAATGACTCTTCCTTTAAAAAACATCACTATGAATGGGACAGATTAGGCCATCAGAGAGCAATAACAAGGTGCCAATTCAGTTGGGTACATACTAACCAATTTTTCGATTTTGTCAGAGCTGGCTTCCAACCTGTCCTCCACTGTAAACGTCCCTCGCTTCATGATTTCATCATCTGTGCTGGTGGTTCCTGCTTCCTTGGGTTTGCCACATGTCTGGAAAAGCTGGGGAGGAAAAGGCAAATCGAAATGTTGAATGAGAAGATAAATGGCATAGCCGTTAATAAACAGCTGAAACAGTCCTAACAAAAAGAGGGTTTCTATTCTTTTTTGTGTGTGTGTGTGTGTGTGTGTGTGTGTGTGTGTGTGTGTGTGGGGGGGGGGGGTGGTATGTATTTACTATATCTAATATTAAAAAAAATAAAAATAGTAAAAATAAACCAAGAATAATAACTTGTTTTGTTTATGTGCATAACCTCGTGAGTCAATGACAGCATCACTTTAGCAGAATGATTCACAACTCGGAAAGTATTACTCGTCCCTAGGGGCTTTGGATTTTATAAATGCTACTCAGGGAATACAGTAAAAACTGCAGTCAATCTGTCATCCAGTCTGGCCTGCTTAGAGGAGCCTCAAGACTTTGAACCTTCACACACACTGTAACTATTAAAAAGAAAATCCTATCTTGAGCTGCTATTAATTTTATTATGACTCACACAACATCAAAAATTAATTGATAAACTCCTTGTTTCAGGGTTTGAGTAAGCAGCTTAACAGTTTGGCTTTGACTCAGTTACAGAGCAGTGGCATATATTTCCATATAGGCTACGCAGTGTAATATCTGCATTTGGCATAATTCGTCAGGAAAGCTTGTAACACAACATATGGCTTTTGACATCAGTCGATTATGTATGATAGGAAATAATCTATCCAACACTATAACTCTGCGCGCCATATTACATGAAGATCAGAGGCTGAAGCTGTGTGTGATTACATACAGGACCAGGTCAGCGGCAGACCGCCAGTCCACTGCTAACCTCAAGGGAGCCAGCCTCTTAAACAGCTAACCAGCACAGAGGAAGCTTTGTCTTTCCTCTCAACGTCCACGCCGTTTCCCACCTTTACCAAACTAATCAGTCAGTTTTTCAGTGCTGCCAGTTGTTTTTAAGGCTCATATAAAACTGTTACCCAAGCACCATTAAAAAGGCTCTGTCATGACTCACATGCCTTCATTTGAAATCAAATATCTGGAGCATGATAACAGCATTAATGTAGTGGGAGGAAATGTGTTAACTGCATATACAAAGCAGGGCAATGAAGTCACATAGTGACCCAGCATGTGAACTCAAGTCCAAATGTTCTTTTGGAGGGAACCAATTTCTATTAGTTTGTGTTTTTTTAAGAGATTTCAGATTCTTTTGATTGCTAACTACTATTTTTACGGCATTACCAAGTGCTAAGGATCTTTAAAAAGCCAAACGTCAGCTACCAGTGTTTCTTCACTGACTTTCACCCATATAAAAAAAGCAAACAATGCTTCAATTCACATCTATGTTTCCAAAAGTTTTCCAAATTAGTAATTACATTGTTAGCAGAAACTAGAAACAAGTAGGACCACCTGAAAGTTAGCTTAAGTGTTCATTTCAGTTGTCGATGATGGTTTTAAGACTGTGGCTCAGCTCACAGTATCGTTTGATGTCTTTTTTGAGGTGCACAGTAAATGCTGATCACATCGTTTCGACCTGTATGCGTGTACCAGTGTGTGTTCTGACCTTGCTGTTGATGCTGGCTATATTCTCCATCATGGTATTCATAGCTTCTGATATGTAACTGGGAAGGGAGAGGATCACACTTTCCACACCAGCAGGGTCATCTAAACGGTCAGCCACCTGGATCATTGTATCTAAAGAGCCATGAGGCACAGTTAGTGTGAAGAAAGTGCGAAGTGTTTCATATGTAGGGCCTCAGTGTGTTGATAGCGTGACTCCCCTTTATTAGAATCAGGTGTGGGTTGAACGTTTGAGCTGGGCATATGGTTAAACTGGATTCATATGAGGGAGTGTATGTGCGCCCCACCTGCTAGGTGCCTCCACTCTGTGTCGAGGTCAGCCTGGTTGGCCAGACAGCCCTTCATGACGTTGGTGCAGTAGTTCAGACAAGGTCTAGCAGACGGCATCCCACGGCAGTGGGGACAGTAAGTCATCTTCATTATGGCTCGCATGCACTCCTGGCTCATTGGCACCTGGGTAAGACAGAGATATAAATAAACATGCACCACTTTGATAAAAGAAAAAAATCAAGTCAAATACTGTTTGGTTAAGCTTACATGAGAGACAAAACTTTGCACGTTTGACTATTTAAACTGTTAAACTGCTTTTGTACAGAAGACATGAATATGGAAAATGATCTGTTTTAATAAGATGTGAAAATGTACATTTTGTTTTAGCTACACAATGACAGTGGCAGCAGTAGGAGGTCACCTCCCATGATGACCTTTTTTTTTTATAGTTTGCACCAGGATCTCGTTCATCACAGTTTCCTTGGAAACTAGTTAGCAAGAATTAGCTTTTTGTTTCAAATGCGATGAAAAGGTCCTGACATTCATACAAGTATTTTCAGTCTCTCACTCTATCCTTCCTGTCTCTTGCACTCTTCCCTCTATCCCACAAGGCTGTTCCCCCAGGAAAAGGCCTTCGTGCGTGAAAAGTGAAACTGGGTTAATACCAGTAAGCTCTGTTCACAAGAGAGTACAGCTATGCATACAAAACCTAAGGAAGTGTTGGGTGTGTGTCTGTGTGTGAGAAAGAGAGAGAGAGAGAGAGAGAGAGAGAGAGAGAGAGCAACAGAACGAGTCCAGCTACGCATACAAAGCTTCTCTAAGCCGACATCTGGGCCAGCCTAATGCTTTTCCGGGAAACTGCAGTTCCAACAGCAAAGTCATAGTTAAAACCAACTTTTAACAAATATACAGTGAAATAGGACAACAATAGGGTTCATGTGTGAAAATAATTCAGATATTTTTCTACAGATGCTTGTTGATATCAGGGGAAACGAAACTGTTCTTATTCATGCTAGCACTGATTTCTGAAGTACATAGCACTGTTTCCTAAAAACAGCTTCCGAGCAACATTTATGGGTGTGTATTTTAGTACTATAAGTAGTCAGTAGCTACTTTAATGATAATATCAAGAAAGATCATTGAAATTTAATCAAAGATTTGACTTGCAAAACTTTATTTTGACACTTTATCAACTCTACATAAAATCTTAAACCACATTAAAAATAAAACAAGCACTGTAAATTAGTTAACACTTGTGTGTAAAAAGGATCGATAGAATTTGGTAATTGGTCTCAGTTACACACGGACAGCAAAGAAGTGACACAGAAAAAGAATAACCGTGTTCCCAGGCCTGATCTCAAGTCATTTGAGACATGAGTCAGATCCTCGTCCCTGCCCTCCTTTATTCCCTTCCTCCATCCGTACTCTAGTTCTTGTTAACCAGGGATGAGTCAGAAAATTGCTTTTTTTGGTGAAAGAGAAGAATGGAGTGTGCAGCGAGGACTGGGGAGAATAACTGAAAATGAGAGATACAGATGTTAAAACGCTATTAGATTAACTGAGGGGAATTTAAAAAACAACAACAAAAAAACAAAAACTGGGAGATGTTAATGAAATCCTCCTGAAAAGAGATTAATCGAGTGTTTCCTACATCATCCATGCAGTGTCAATACTGGGAATCACTGGCACTGCACAAGAGACGTGAAATGTGCAGTTCTGCTGTGTTGCTTGTTAGAGGTTAATGTTGACAACTTCCCAAGGCTGGCAGCCTGGAAACTGTGGCACACCTGGCTTTAGGAAAGTAAAAGCTTTCAAATTATAAGTAGTAATACAACCCATATCTTATTCCTACTGGAGTGCAGAAACCCATCTCGGTTTGATAAAGTTCGACATATATTCCTTGATATTTTTCGCACATGCGGATCCTCAATGTCTCTTTCATACTCTAAGTCGTCCTCGCTTCACCCTCACTGCATGCTTCCCATACCTGTTTGTACATTGCCCACAGCAAATGTCCATGAAGACACACCGTCTTTCTTTCTGTTTGTCTCTCCTCTGTAATTAGTAAGGATATATGGACAGCCTCTCCTCCCTTGTGTTACAGAACAAGCTGATCCCGACTCCTTGCCTCCAGAGTGAGCAATTCGCGTGGCCTACTTCCTACTCTCCCCTTACCCAAGGAATAAAACAGTCTGCAAAAAAAAGTTAAGGACACACGTAACAACTGGTGCAGCCCAAAGCGAAGCAAGGGAGAATTAATACTCAACCAGAAAGCCAGACAGACCTTCCTGCTGACACCTTTTTTTCTGTCTTATAAAAACATCTCTAAAATTATCACTCTCTCTCTCTCTCTGCTTTACTCTATTCACAGCATCCTTTAAGGATACTCTTTCATCACCTGCCACCACAGCTAAGGCTTATCGGGAATTCATTTCATCTTTCTTATGAAAACAAACTTCTGTGGAGGACTACAAGGATTGGAGGCACACACATACACAGAGGGAATTTTGTCTTATCCTGCCTTAATACCTCCTCCAGCAGCCTACAGTAAACACCTTCAGTTACTGACCTCTTTGCAAGTTTCAGTGCACATTTTTTTTTTCTAAAAAGAGAGGCTGCCTCATTAATGCACATGCATTAATCTACTGCTAATAGAATTTCATTGGAATGGAGGGGAAAGCTGAAATTAATTTATATACAAGATACAGCCACAGACAGAGAACACAGCAGGGTGTGGTTGTGGGAAACAAACAGAAACTACTATTCACAATTTACAAGGAGAAGAGCTGCAGAATTTAAAGACAACACACACACACACAAAAAAAATGAGAGAGTAGGAAGATAAGGATACGAGAGGAAGCTGGATTTTGTCAAAGCTTTCCTATATCTGCCCCCCCCCCACACACACACACACACACATTTTTCTCACTGTTTTAATTTATTCCTATCAAGCGCAGTGCTGTTCCAATCTGCATAAGTACAGCACAACTGTGACTGTGTGCTGGGAGGACAGCGACACAGACAAACACACAAATTATACATGTGAAGTTGAACAGTTGGCTGATGTCTGCACCTCGTCCAGTCAAATCCTATCAGAGAGGCCTTGACTCGGAAGAAACTTGGCCTTGCGTGTTTTTTGAAACACGCCAAAAATTCTCTTTTAAAACCAGACTGACCAAGTGTGCCCATCGTGACTATTCTTGCACTACAGAGTGCTCTACTCTAAATAGGACAGAAGGCACTCCATGACCTCATTCAGAACGCAGCAGCTCCAATACCCTGGCATTAGCGCTGAAATGACATTCTGTAATTTTGTTAAAAGCTGCGCTAATTATTTACTCGTTTTCCCCGAGCCACCCTTGTTCAGTGAACTCATCACTCACTACTCTTCAGCACTGGCAAAGTGGTCGAGGATCATGCCTTAAAAAAGGCGTAGTAACTCCGGGAGAAATGTGTGTGCACATTTTTAGTACCTTTCAACGCTGGGTTCAGTCTGTATATGAATATGTTTGTCTAAAAAGATGCTCATTAAAATAGCATTGATGGATCATGAATAGGAATTGCAACATTCCCCACATGTATTCTGTTGTTTACTCCTCCACCTACTTGCAAAAAGGTCAAATTGTTTTTCTGCATGTGGTACGTTAGTTCAAGAACCCCGGTCTTTGTACGTCTGACAACGCCCACAACTAATCACATACATTAAAGTGACAGGAAAGAGCATCACATATATTTGTTTCCTTTGCATCCAGATGTGTCGCACAGTAGTTCTCGCCCTTTACCTTTCGTGGTCATTCACAGCACAAAGTTATCAAAGAAATACCTGTAATATTCATACTTTTTACAGGATCTGTTCCTCAAAGCATTTTTCACTGAACCTCATCTCTCTCCACTCTGCTTGCCCACTGTCTGACAGCAGATATTTTTCACAGGGGCATCAATACCGGCCACCTCCCTGAAATTATTTCTCAGTCTCGCTCTCATCTTAACCTTACTCTTGCCTTTTACAAAGAGGGGATCATTCTCTTGGGGAAATTAACCTGCCTCACAGCCTAGGGAGACATTTTTCAGCGTGGAGAGGGAATTAACTGTAGTTGCAGGGGCAAGCTGAGCCCGAGGCCATGCTTCGCAGAGTGTCTTGCTTCTGCTAACGCTGATCTGAGGGGAAAAGAATCAAACTGAACCCTGTGGAAAAGTATTTTTAATTTTTCTTCTGTTTATTTACTCACACACACACTCCCCCCCCCCCCTTTTTTTTTTCCAATTACATAACTCTGTCATTATACAGTGAATGTGACTCAGGCAGATCTGAAATATGCTCGTTAATTTCTGGATCTCGCATAATGTTGTCGGGTGTCACTGAATGCTACTCGTTATTTTGCAGAAACATTAGTAGAGCTGCTGATGTTTGTTTGTTGCCAGCAGCATTTTTTTTGCCTTACATCAATACTACAGCGCTGTACCGCACAGAAATAATAAATGCTTCTGAAAATCTGTCGTGATGTTCATGTTTCCACACAAGGGGCAGCGGTTTAACTTCATTAATTATATCAGCCAGGCCTCTGACAAAGAAGATGCCCGAGTTCTTCCACACAGCTGACAGCTCAGCTTCTCTGGATGAATCCTGAGCTCCACCAGAGCTGTCGGTACATTTTTATTAAGATGCCCGTTATTATGTACAAAACTAGATTTCGCTGTTTAAATTATGCATTGGGCCTGGAACTGCAGAGGTGAGGCAGGAAAACAGAGCTGCTGCTCAGTCTAAAGGATCATGCAAGATGAGAAGAAATAGTTTTACCTGGGATACTCTGCGTACGGCTTCGCCCGCAGTCACCAGGCCCTGAACAAACGAACGTGCAGCCACAGCGTGCGCGTGACTTTCATCTTCATTTGACGGGTGTGTCTCCAAAAGGCCGCAGTGTGTCTATCTGCTTAGACACACACTCCAGGTAGTCTCACCTGTAATCAGCAAACACATCAAACGAAATCTTCAAGTAGAAAATCTCACCACTTCTCAAGGTTTGGGTTAACCCCTGAAGGCTGAAGCTAAAATTATTTAAAAGTAAATAATAAATCATTTATTTTATTTTTACTCAAAAAAATCTTACACATGCATCGACCTTTTAGCAGTTTCTTTAGACCTGATGTGTTACATGTGTTGCTTTTGATATATTTTAGCCTGCTTCACTTTGTTAGACACGTTGTACTTAAGTGATTTCTGATTCAACAGCTCTGACAGCAAGCAGGTCATCAGGTGAACAAAGATGTGGTAATCACAGTGAAACAAATTCTCAAGAACTAGAGCTGCTAGCTGCTGCAGTGTGCCAGGTTCATGGTATTACTGTAATAAACCATGCATCGACCAGTTCCAATATGGTTAACAGAACATGAAATAATCCCAAGCCAAAAAAATAAGTTATTTTTTTGTTTTTTACTGTAGCAGAGAGCCAGCGAAAAGCTTTTAGCTGTTATGTGCGTCCAACAAGTGAACTAAATGTACCTATACATATTGCCCGTTTGCCTGGAAAAAGAGCTTCTCCAGGAGCCTGATCCAGAAGTCATTAAGTGTTTCTTCCAGGTTGATTGGCTCCTCGTAGTACTTCTTCAATTCTGTGTAAACTCGGAGAAACATCCGAATCTTGTTGTATAGAGAGCCCAAGTTGAAGTGAAAGTCTCTTGTAGGTTCAATCAGAGCGGTTCAGCAATCTAGAAAGTGACCTGAAAACAACAAAATTTAAACAGCTGTTATAATGAAATATTTGTATTTCGTGTTTTATTACTTTGCAATGTGCTGCTCCATGTAGACCTTAATGTCACCGTTTCAAAATAGTCAGAGCCATCAATACAAGATCGTCAATACAGTACTCTTTTGCAAAAAAAGTCACTTATTCCAACACAAATTCCACTTATTTTTTAAATGCTTTGTGCTGCATGCCAACAGCCTCACACTGTCAATGAACCTTAAGTTAAAGTATGCGAGAATGCCTCTCTAGGGCATGTCAGGGAACTGACAGTGCTTGGGGGTTTGGTTATATACTGCTCCAAGGAGATTACAGATATGGTTAATGGGCACATGCACACATTCAAGCGCACAAGCAGATAAACAAAAGAGTCAACTAGGCAGGATGTCACACTTGGAGAAATCATACAATTCATATCCAACACTAATGTTGTATTGTTTTCACAATACAATCTATACAGCTTCACCAATAATTACAGACTAAAACATTGCAAAAACTCGTAGTAGTATAACGTACATAATGTTAAGCTTAAGATTGATTTAACGTAAAGCTTTTAGATAGCAATATACAGGAGTAAACAAGAGTATCAGATGAGACAGGTGTAAACGGGTACCTCATGCTATCCTTGGCTTGTGTTGAGAGGTGTGCAACATTTTCAGTTTGCTTTCATAAATCCCACATTTTCTGTGGCCAGTGGCATAAACAAGTTTACATCCATTTTATGTATGAACTCAGAAATTCAGCCCGTTTCTGCAAGATTATGACAACAGAAAGTTCAACACGACAACAGTGTGCCTTAACCATCCATGACTTTTAGTTACAAATAGGGTTGCACCTTAGTGAATTTGAGTGTGTGTACATCCTTGTGGATATGGTAAGTGTCTGTGTCTAGGGAGATGGAGACTGTAGTCTGCAGCAGTATTTATTTTGCATTATAGGTGTCTTATCTTTGGCAACAACCACCCACAGTCGAGAGGCACTGCAAAAAAGGGGATGCTGCAGCCCCCACATGGGACCCCTTTCCTGGGGTTAGCTTATCCCCTGATGCAGTTATTTAAAAAACAAAACAAAAAAAGCAACATCACAGCACTCACAAACATCCATCTCCCACACTGTCTTGCATATTTAAAGAAATACAAACACACCCTGCCTTGTAGGAAAAACCGTTCGAGTGATACGTAGCAAAGCTATAACACCCACATGAGCAGAGCCAATCGGGCACAGTAAGACAATCACAGCACTTGTTTACATAACATGTTAATATGCTAAGTCCATCCTGACCCATCTGTGTAGCATTATCCAACTCTGGCCTTGTTGGATACTGTATCTCTGTTCTGCCTTCCAGTCATAATAAACCCTAGCTGACTTTGCTCCATAGCTCTGGTCTTTGCTGCTTTCTGGTAAAAGAATAAAAGTGTGAGAGATTTGCTCATTTTAAACCCTTTTTTGTCTTTCATTCTCTCGCAAACACTCTGAGGCTATACTTTTCCAGTTTTGATTTTCCTATTTTGGGTGGTGGTTAATCTTGGGAACGTGCCGGAATATTTTTCTGTTTAAATCAAGCTGATTTTCTACTTTGTTTTGGTTTCTAAAACGCCATTCCCTGACGCAATAGAGACCATATCACATTCTTGTTCTCTGCCACATTTAATTGCCTGCTGGAAAGAAAAGACAGTGTAAAATGTGTTTTGGACTGCACGTTTTGAAGCTTCAACATAGTGTTTTTATCTCTGCCATTTTTTTCCAAGCCAGAAATTACCTTACGTGGATGTAAGGATCTAATGCTAACTCATCAGCTAGTCCCAGAGGCACTACAGTTTTCGCCACATCTGCCTTGGCCTCTTTTTTAAGTTCCAGAAGTTGCCCCTTGCTTCAAACCCAGAATAATGGCAGGTCAGATTATTTATAGTATGCTTCATGCTCAAACCCTGATGATGATTTCTTAAAACTGGCAGAAAGCAAGCAAGTCAAGTAATTATCTAATTTGAGGGCTTACTCCCTGATGACAACAATGGTAGGCCAGGTTAAACTTTGTAATATATAATACTTTAGATAAATGGGGGTTGAGTAAAACACTGTGATGATTAAAGGCTGAAAAGGTTGGTGCAAACTGCTTCAACAAGTTACAGAAGACATTGCTAGCGAGCTTCTAATTATAACTACAGACTTCATAGCACAGAGAAAATGTCAACACATCGAATGCCATCTTTGTGATGCAAATCACTTCTTATATTGTAATGCTTGGCGAGATAAATGCTTCTGAAATGTAGCAGCTGTATATCCAGTATTTATTACACAGCAGCTGCATGACACATCGCTCCCCAGTTCCCAGCCTCCTGTCACTCAAACTATCTGCAAACACAGCACTGGACCAGACTCCACATACCAGCAGAGCTACATGCATGATAGGAGAACTCACATTCTTATATATATAAATCGAATCAGCACACAGAGAAAGCAACTTCCAAGTGACAGCGCATTCATATGTACACAGTGAAGGATCACAGCCCCCGCACGAACACACACACACACACACACAATCCAGAGTACACAGCAGCAGTCAGACAGACAGAAGGGAAGCTGCTCTGACAGGTGCAGATTTACTTTTAATCTCTATTAGAAATTATTCCTGCTGTGTACTGTCAGCCACACTGTAAATAAGTCTGGCTAAATGAAATGGCTTTCAGCAGAATAGCAAAGGATGTTGTTCAGCTGCTGAGGAGAAGTTGTTTTCGCCATTCAATGCACAATCTGCATTTCTGTTTACAGTTTTTTGCTTGGGGCATGTTTTAAGTGCTCACATGTGGAGGGCAGATCTCGGTAAATGGTACAGTGTTGTACAGTTCTCCTCTGCCCTTTAACTCAAGTGAGTAATAGCCATCATTAGTATGACACAAACCCTCTGTGCATGTGTGTGTGCACGCTCGCTCGCTTGGGCTATTGTGTGTGAAAATGACCTTTCTCATTCTTCATCGGTTTGCATCTCCATGACATAGGGAGTCATATGACTTCCCTCTCTATATACGCCCTTTCTTTTACGCTCACCCACAATCCTCCGCCATCCCTCAAAGCTTAACCTCTACACTTTCTCCCCCGGTGTCTGCTCTCTGGGGGAAAGATTGATGGGAAAGGATGCTTAATTGCCTATATCCCAGCACACCGGTGTGGAGGGGACAGACGGGACGA